AGGTCTCACTACCCTCGCCCGCCCCACGCTGAACCAACCACTCACGGAGCTGCTGAGGCGTCTGAGTCTCGCTCCGACGCTGCTGCTGCTGGCCCCGACCGCCACCAGGGCCGCCACGCTGAGGTCCAGACCGACTACCACTGGTCCCACCGCCTCCACTGCCGCCACCCCCTCCGCTGCCTCCACCGCCGCCACCAGAGCCTCCACCTCCGCCACCGGTCCCACCGCCGCCACCACCTCCACCGCCTCCGCCTCCTCTACCGCTGCCCCCACTGCCACGCCCACTGCCACCTCCACCACCACCGCTGCCTCCTCCACTACCCCGGCCACCCTTGCCCTTGCTGTTGCGGCGCTTCGTACTAGTCGAAGCAGCACCGACGTCCTCAGGAACAGATACGTCTGCAGCAGCAGCAGAGGCGAAGGAGGAGGAAAGGGGGGGGGGGGAGCACCCCTCAAAGAAGGGTGAGCGCGGGGTGCCACGAGCAGCACCCACAGCAACTGCACTAGTCTCAGCTGCGAGGAGATGCTGCTCGAGGAGGTCAACAGTGAGGGAAGTGGGGTCGAGGGTGAGGAAGTGGTCCCTGACAGAGCGAAGGGAGTCAGGGAGGCGAGTGACTATGAAGTAGAGGGTGATGAACATGGGGGGCTGGTTCGCGGGAAGGAACTCAGCAGGAACGGCAGCGCGGTAGCGGGCGTCGCTAGTGCGCAGGTGGGTAACCAGGTCCGCTACTGTGGCAAAAGCCGACAGCTCAGGGAACAGGTAGGGCAGTAGCAGTCTGCCAAGAGCAGCAGTGGCAGGGGAGGAGTAGCGAGCAACGACAGCGTCGTACAAGGCCTGTGCTGTCCTGTGCTCGCCAAAGTGAGCACATTCTGTTGCGGGCAGGTGGTTGCGAATGGCCAAGCGGGCAGTAGCATCACGAGAGAGCCACTTGGAACGAGTCGAAACGTCAACTGTGGCGGGAGGGGCTGGAGCGGCACCGGACACGAGGTCAAACAGCGAGACACTGTCCCGACTGTCGCTCAGTAGGTACAGTTGCAGATCGTCGTGCCATGTGTCAAATGCTACAGGTCTGCCCTCCGGGTCGAACGGGAGAACCCGAAGCAACGCCATAGGGGCAGAGGAGCCTGGGGGGCCGCGGGGCCAAACAGGGGGCCGAGGGACCTAGGGGGCCGAGGGGCCAAACAAGGGGCCGGGGGGCCGGGTGCCGGTCTCTGAGGTGGGGCCGAGTGGCCTAGGGGCCGCGGGGCCAAACAGGGGGCCGGGGGGCCTAGAGGGGGCCAAGGGGCCTAGGGGGCCGAGGGGCCAAACAAGAGGCCGGGGGGGGGGGGCGGGCGCCGGTCTCTGATAAGGGGCCGAGGGGCCTAGGGGCCGCGGGGCCAAACAAGGGGCCTGGGGGGCCTTAGGGGGGCCGAGGGGCCTAGGGGGCCGAGGGGCCAAACAAGGGGCCTTGGGGGCCGAGGGGCCAAAGTAGGGGCCGGGGGGCCTAGGGGGGCGAGGGGCCAAAGTAGGGGCCGGGGGGGGCGGGCGCCAGGCTCTGAGGTGGGGCCGAGGGGCCTAGGGGCCGCGGGGCCAAACACGGGGCCGGGAGGGCCTTAGGGGGGGCCGAGGGGCCTAGGGGGCCGAGGGGCCAAACAAGGGGCCTAGGGGGCCGAGGGGCCAAAGTAGGGGCCGGGGGGCCGGGCGCCAGGTTCTGAGGTGGGGTTGAGGGGCCTAGGGGCCGCGGGGCCAAACAAGGGACCTGGGGGGCCTTAGGGGGGGCCGAGGGGCCTAGGGGGCCGAGGGGCCAAACAAGGGGCCTTGGGGGCCGAGGGGCCAAAGTAGGGGCCGGGGGGCCTAGGGGGCCGAGGGGCCAAAGTAGGGGCCGGGGGGGGGCGGGTGCCAGGCTCTGAGGTGGGGCCGAGGGGCCTAGGGGCCGCGGGGCCAAACACGGGGCCGGGAGGGCCTTAGGGGGGCCGAGGGGCCTAGGGGGCCGAGGGGCCAAACAAGGGGCCTAGGGGGCCGAGGGGCCAAAGTAGGGGCCGGGGGGCCGGGCGCCAGGTTCTGAGGTGGGGCCGAGGGGCCTAGGGGTCGCGGGGCCAAACAAGGGACCTGGGGGGCCTTAGGGGGGCCGAGGGGCCTAGGGGGCCGAGGGGCCAAACAAGGGGCCTAGGGGGCCGAGGGGCCAAAGTAGGGGCCGGGGGGCCGGGCGCCAGGCTCTGAGGTGGGGCCGAAGGGCCTAGGGGCCGCGGGGCCAAACAAGGGGCCTGGGGGGCCTTAGGGGGGCCGAGGGGCCTAGGGGGCCGAGGGGCCAAAGTAGGGGCCGGGGGGCCTAGGGGGCCGAGGGGCCAAACAAGGGGCCAAAGTAGGGGCCGGGGGGGGGGCCTTGGGGGGGGGCGAGGGGCCTAGGGGCCGCGGGGCCAAACAAGGGGCCGAGGGGCCAAGGGGGGCCGAGGGGCCAAACAGGTACAGGGCCGGGCGCTGGGCAGGTACAGGGCCGGGCACGAGGCTAGGTACGGGCCGAGCGACGGGCTAGGTACAGGCCGGGCGCGGGCTAGGTACGGGCCGGGCGACGGGCTAGGTACGTGCCGGGCGCGGGCGTCGAAGTTGGCGGGGCCAGCTGGGCCGAGGCGACGGGCTAGGTACGGGCCGGGCGACTGGCTTCGAAGTTGACGGGGCCAGCGGGGCCGAGGTGACGGGCTACGTACGGGCCGGGCAACGGGCTAGGTACGAGCCGGGCGACAAGCTAGGTACGGGCCGGGCGCGGGCGACGAAGACGGCGGGGCCAGCGGGGCCGAGGCGACGGGCTACGTACGGGCCTGGCGACGAGCTAGGTACGGGCCGGGCGCGGGCGACGAAGACGGCGGGGCCAGCGGGGCCGAGGCGACGGGCTATGTACGGGCCTGGCGACAAGCTAGGTACGGGCCGGGCGCGGGCGACAAAGACGGCGGGGCCAGCGGGGCCGAGGCGACGGGCTACGTACGGGCCGGGCGCGGGCGACAAAGTCGACGGGGCCAGCGGGGCCGAGGCGACTAGCTAGGTACGGGCCGGGCGACGGGCTAGGTACGGGCCGGGCGCGGGCGACAAAGTCGACGGGCTAGGTACGGGTAGTGCAGTAGGTGGTGGGCCCATTGAGACTAGGTCCTAAGACTTAGTTGCTCTTAATACCATGTTAGAATCCTTAGGTGAGAATGAATGACTAGGAAGCAAGGAAGGGTACAAGTGGAATGTCGAGAGAATTCTGTACCCCTTAAGGCTAAACCCACTATAGCCTAGACAAATGTAAACACATGAACTAAGCCTAGATATAACTAAGTATATATGTTTGACAGTTCATAACTACCGCAACTTGCTCGAGGGGCTTGTAATGTGGGTGCAACTGGCTGGTAAACAAAACACGGGTGCAGAATTTCCATCTTGGGCAGGGCAAATTCCCACTCAGGGAAGATATCAGGCGAATCCCTCCGGGAACCCACTTTTGGCCCTGCGGGAACCCGTCCGCGAATTCTCGCGAGCGGACGGAAGCAACGCCCATCTGCGCCGTGCTCCACCGCTCTCGCCCTCGACGGGGCCCGTTTCGGTTGGCGCTCGACCGTGGTGATGTGTCGAACGCCCCCTCCCGCTCCTTGAGAGGGGCCTTTCAGCTGCATGCAGGGCTCCCCACCTCATGCAACCAACCAGTAATATAGGGCCCCGCCGCCCTCTACCATAAGCTCCTCCTACCGCCGTCGCGGAACGCGCCCTGCCTCGTCGCCCTTGCACCCGAGTCTGTCTCGGTGGAGGGGATGGCAAACAGCAAATACCCTGAGTGCGTTCTCATTTCGTTGCAGTCTCCGAGTTTTTCTTCCCTACTCCCTAGTTCCCAACTTCCATGCGCTCCCGCCCTCCCTACTGCTAGGCCTGTCATGGCTACGGGCCCCGCCTCCCTACCCGTCGTGAACAAGCCGATGGTTCGACGCGGCCTCATCCTAACCGCAGGCGGGATCGATGTAGAGGTGTTCGAAGACCAGTTGAATGCGCCTAGCGAGGCGCCGAAGGCGGAGCTCGACGAGACGATGATGAATGCGGGCGTTGTGTACGTTTCCTGTCGAGCACTTTAGGTTTGCCATGTTTACCTGTCGCTGACTGTGCCTTAGCTTTCCTGCAGCCTGTTTTCGAGGGAGCTACTGTCCGTCGAGCAGCTTGCCAAGCTGTCGATCGTGACTTCGACGCGTGCGCATGAAGAGATGGCGCGTCCCACACCGGTCTCTTTTGCGAACAACCACCTCGACGGCCTGCTCGGCAAGCAAGTGATTCTTGTTCTGCTGCGGACCACGTGAGTTCGACACTATCCCGTCGCCTTGCGTGCTCCGTGTTTAGTACTAAACCCGTGCTCACGTGCATTCACTCTGCATGCAGCCTGACTGTGGCGCCGTTCTCCCACTCGAGCCTGTTTGTGGTATTGCGCCCCGACGATCTGCTGGCTCCAAGGCACCATGGCTGTCAAACTCGAATGATGCACTTCGATTCGAAAGACAGGTTTCCCGCGGTGAACCACCAATCTTCGCTGGCGCATGAAGTTCTCGTGTGAGTGACCGATTTGCCACCCTACTGTCGACTTGCCGTTCTCGACAATCTCTTACTCTCCTGTCCGTTGCTTTGCAGTTGGATGAAGAAGCAGCTTTGCGCCGAGTATGCGACGACCCAGCGGGTTGTGACCGAGCACGAGCAAGAGGTGCTTAGCCTCATCGACCTGCGTCTGGACATGATCACGAGTTTCGATCATCTGGTAAGCCAACCATTACCCTTACCCGTGCATGTTTTTGTCGAGCATGTTTGTTCTGTCGCTTACGTGTGTTGTTTATACCCGTCGCAGACAACGACGGCCCTGATAAGCCCCAGTGAACCCGGCGCAGCAGCTCGTGTCGTGCATGGGGTGCGCCGGATTTTGTCGAACTGGGACAATTTCATCCTGCAGCCTCGACAGGGCGACCTCGTGATGCTCGGGAGAACGAGCCCTGGCCTGGGTTTGCTTCCGTCGTTCATGCTCAAACTGTTTTGGAAAAGGATGGACGAGGCGGCGGAGGGAGTAGGAGTAGGAGGGGGTGCCGAAAATGAGGGAGGAGGCGAGGGGGTGCCACGCGTCGTGGTTGAGTACAGCTACGAGGAGGAGGAGGAGATCGAGGAGGATACATCGAGGCAAGCTCAGCACGGGGTGAGCGGCCCGGGCGGCAATGCGGACGAGCAGGAGGGCTCGAGCTCGGAATCGAGCTCCGGCTCGAGCTCGAGCGTTGAGTCAATCGAGCACGACAGCGAGGGTTTAGGGTTACATCCAGGTTGGACGGAGCGTACAGAGAAGCACGGAGTGGCACTCGGGGAGCGGGTGGACGAGCAGCAGGCGACGGGGGACGATTGGGATGTCGAAGAGCAGGAGGGCGGAGCGGCTGGGCAGGATTTTGGGACAGGAGTGCAGCAGCAGGAGGGCGGGGCGGCTGCGCAGGAGGGTGGGGTCGGAGGGCAGCAGCAGGAGGGCGTGGTGGCTGCGCAGGAGGGTGGAGCAGGAGGGCAAGAGCAGGAGGGCGGGGAGGCTGTGCAGGAGCGACTCGTTGCAGTAAGAAGGAGACACCGCACGGCCAGTGGCAGCGGACAGGCGGGCCCTTCGACAGCAGGCCATTCAACGTCGGCCATTGCATCCGGAGACCAGGTCGTCGAGCTACTGCAGAGGGTCGCGGAGGTCGAGGCGTCGCAGAAGAAGCTCGTCGCCGATGTATTTGCGAAGCATTGTGAGCAAGCTGCTGTTTTCAACAAGCTTGCTGGGGATTTTCGGACGGCCTGGAATATGATTTCGGAGTCGTCGAAGAGCACGCTGAAGCAGTGCGGCGATGCTGTAAACGGTGTCACGGAGGAGAGGAAGCTGTTGGAAGGGGCACGCTCGAAGCTCGACGAGATGAGCGGGAAAATCATCGAGGGGGTGGCAGCCGCTATCACAAAAGCGATCGAGGACGCCGTAAAGAAGCAGCTCAAGCTTGTCAAGGAGCGGCTGGTTGCTTCGGTCGTGAAGGGAATTGAGAAAGCCGACAAGGAGGACTTGTTCTACTCCACCCTCCCACCCAAGAGCATGAAGGAGCTGAAGGACGTTGTGAGAGAAAGCTACCAAGAAGCTGAAGCTGGCAGATTGGAAGTCCTCACCGAAGCGATGGCGAGAGGGTTTCGGGGCTCGGCGGGCCCGTCGACGAGGTCGCGTCAGGAGGAGGGGGTGGCTGGTGTTCGCAGCGGGGTTGAGCGTCGAGTTCATGAGCGCTCGGTTCCTCCTTCTTCGGTGGGAGGACATGTCGGCAGGCCGGTAGCATCCCCACCGTCGCATGCCTGTCAGACCGTCGGCAAGTCCGTTGAGGACAAGGATGTCATCGTACTCGACCAATCGCCCTGTCAGCAGACCTCCGAAGCGGCACCGAAGCCTCCGCCTGATGCTTTTGCTCCGCTGCGGGACATGCTGCAGGGCCTCGGGAAAAAGGGTGGGAAAGGAGTGGTTGTGGGGGAGAAAAGTGGTGCCCCAATCGGCCAGGTCGCCTCAGCCGGGAAAGGAGCCGTGGAAAAGCGAGGTGCCCCTACCCCGTCCGGCGGCGCTGCGGGGAAAGGAGCGGGGGAGAAACGGGGTGATCCCAGCCAGGTCGCCGTCGCTCCTGGGTTGCTGTCGAAGACAAGGGCCGACTCCGCTGCGCAACTCGGCATTGCTGGCTGTCCTGTCGAGCCTGTGGGAAAGAGGTCGTCGTCCGTTTTAGGCGACGTCTCCCTTAGCGAACCGGGTTCCCCTCCTCCTGGTCCGAGGCCAAGGTCCCCTTCTGCGTCGAAGAAAAGGTAGGTTGTGACGAAGTCGACGAAGCGGGCTGCAGAGGCAACAGAGAGCAGTGACGTCGAGAAGGCATCTACCGTCGTTGCTGCTCGATACGAAAAGTCAAAGAAGCCCAAGGTGATCGGCTACGCCCCACCTCCTCCGCCGGACGACCAAGGCAAGACGAGAGGCTGCAAAGCTCCCTTCAAAGGACCGGACATGATGTCGCGCAAGGGGAAGCCGGTTTCCGAGCAGACCGTAGGCTCGAGGAAGCGGTTCCAGGGCACTTTTGAAACGGAGGCGGACCAGAAGTCTTGTACGGCCATCTGCTGGCGCGTGCACTTCCCCGACATAGACCTCAAGGAGTACGAGGGGTTCACAGCACAGGATGAGAAGGGTTGGAAGGTCTATCTCGATGCAGCAGCGCGTATGCCCACCGGCGTTTGGAGCGTGGCGCAAGAACAAGGGGAATGTCTTTTCGACGAGTGAGTTCTGTCGAAGTCCTGTAGTTTGGCTGTCGTAGCGGTTTTGTTCTTTCCGTCGAAGTGCTGTCGGATTTCCTGTCGAAGTCGTGCCGTCTGACTAACGCATTTGTTTCGATTTGCAGTTTCCGGTCGCTGCTGGCGACGACAAATACGGAAGTGAGAGCCGGAACCGACTGGGGAATTGCGCTGTGCGCGGCGATTGGGAAGGTTGCGACACTTGGCCGGAGGCACGGGAACGTGATTTATCCGGTCCCGAAGAACATGCACGGGACTGCGCACATGATGGCCGTCGCAGCAACTGTGGCAAGCTTGTGGGCGGCCTGCAGAAAGTTGTCGAGGGAAGACATTAAGAAGGATGCCCTAGCTGCCGCAAACGCAGCGCTCTACGCCCTAGAGATGGTGATATGGGTTAGTGCGGCTGCCATGGCTGCGCTGCTGTCCGTACTTTTGCACGTCGGCAAGACGTTCCCAGCCAAGCAGTGGCCCGATCTGCTATATTCGTCGGCTGTCGAAGGCCTCGGCCTGACTGACGCCACCCTGTTGTAGATGGTGCGCGTGGCAGCACAAGTCTGTACTCAATGGTGCTGCTGTCGATTTGCTGCCCGTTTACTAGAGGACACGGGCTATGGGAGCCTGGCTATGCCAGAAGAAAAGAGCAAGGCGAAGCTGGGCGACGAGGAGGCAACAGAGGCGGAAACAGGCGGGCAAGGGGAGTAGTATAGGTGGGCGCATTGCGTGGGGGTTTTTGCATCATTCGACAGATGTGTTTGTTGTTTCGATAGGTTGATCGACAGATGTTCTTTGACTTTATGTTTTCGAGAATGCTCAATTGGTTCATCTTGTCGAGATGGTGTCACAACATGCATTAGGGGAAGATGCCATGTAAACCCTGAACAACCTACACTAGGGTCCCCCCTCCGTACGGTTGCCCGTCGAACTAGGCCGCGTCGAACTAGGCCGCGCGCCAGTTGTTGCCGTGAACTCTTTCCATTTCTCCTTGCCGAACACCTTCTCCGCCCATTCTGCGGTTCGGAGTTCGACGCGAATGAGCTCCAGAGTGATTCTAAGGCGTTGTTTGTCCTTCCGATTTTCCTCTGCAGACTCGACTTTGCCCTTTTTCGTGAGCTGCCTCCCAGAATCCTCCTTGAGAACGATGCCCTCCGAAAGCATGTTGATCGAGTGGCCCTTCACGAGTCCAGCTTTTCGATGACCGTCGACGTAGCCGCGCTGCTGTCGACGATCCGGAAATGCTCGACGGCCTTCATGACAGCCTCCATTTTCCGCATTTTTGTCTCGATGGCTTTTGCAGTTGGTGGATTTTCTTTTGGCTGGGCCTTCTTTTCGGGGGTTACGGGGGGTGGAGTCGGTGTGAACTTGCAGAACTTGACGGCGAAGCCCCTCTTGTAAGCGTGTCGAAGACTATGCCCGTTGTTCAGTGGGCTTGGCCCGTCCCAGTACAACCACGCCTTCCGCACGGTCTCGCAATTGCACCACGGCCACACCACCGCGTCGAAGAACGCCTGGTCGAGCTGGCTGCCCACGCTCTGTCGAGAGGGCGTTGCTTGTTGGGCATGCTGTGGATCTGGGGTGGCTTCCTCGGTTGCCGTCTGTGCCACATTTGCAGCTGCGCTTGTCGCCGCGGTATTCTTCAATGCGTCGAACGCTTTCTGTAGTTGCGCGAACGCCTCTGTCTTCGCCTCCAACTCAGCTTTCATTGAGCTCTTCTGCCGCTCCAATGACTCGACCTGCTTCTCGAGGTGGTTGATTTGGATTTCCTTTCTCCCTCCCTCCTCCTTGTGGAGGTTTATCTCGGCCCGAAGTTGCGTGACGAGATGCTTGGTGTTGAGGTGAGAGGATACGTCCTGCACGCAAGAACATGTGCAGTCAGTGGGCTGATGCAAAGTCGTCGCTTATAGTTTTGGAAGGACCATCTTACCGTCGCTCTCGACATCGTGGGGTTGGTCCGCATCTCGATGCCGTACTTGTCGAGCGTATACACGTCGAGCGCCCATTTTTGGAAATCTTCGTCCTTGCACAAACCCGACATCCGGACGTAAGGGTGACGCTCGCAGTCACAAACGCTGATCCCGTCGAAGGGGTGGTCCTCACAATGGACGTAGTACATCGCAAGATCCTCCGCGATGGGCATTCGGGCGGCTATCAGGGCCTCCAAGAAACTCTTCGCTGCGTAGTACATATGTTCCTTGTCCTGCTCGTTGTTCCACTCTTGGGCCTGAACATAAACGAACGGGGTGACATCGAGAGATGGATGGGCGCGCAAAACTTGCGTTCGACGAAGACGCCAAGTGCTCGACAGATACATACCTCGATGAGCCACAGCTCCGCCTTGGGAAATATGTGCTCCTCGATAGCCTTCAGGACCTTCGGGGGCACTTTGGTCTTCGATCTTCCGATGTAATAGTCGCCCGGTTCCTGCGAGAAACCCGCTTGCATCTGGATGGCCGGGCGCGGGATTCCTGTGACGTATGACCTACGCATCTCGTTCATGTCCCATCGACCCAGCTGTGCGATGGTGTCGAGGTCTAAGTTCTTGTCCGCGAGGATCTGTGCCGCAGACCATCGAAAGATGTGCGTGACTTTCGACAGGATCCACACCGCGCTATTCATCGCCCATGTCACCCATTTGTTTGTGCGTCGGGTACGGCATCTCTGTCTTCTCTTTGTCGAAGAGGGCAAAGAACAAGTGTTTCTTCGACCAGGCCTCCGGGTTTGAAAAATCCAAGGGGGGCACGATATTCTCGTTGTTGTGTAGAGCGGCACGAGGTCGAAAAGGAAGTGTAGCCAGAGGAAAACTGCTCCAAAGCAGCACTGCTGGAAGTCCATGTGTCGAGTCAGGTACAAGTGGCTGGGCTTGTTGCCTTTGACGGTCTTCGAATTGCGATAGGCGACCACGAGAACGAGGATCAACGATTCCCCCGGGCTGTTCGTGATGGGCAGAAGGACGTGAGTGAACATGTTGCAGTAGCGAATCGTACGGATGCTGATCCCCCTTCCCAGCATGTGATGCGCCATCAGAATCATCACCCTCACAGCCAAGGCCTTCCACAACGACAGACTGGGGTACGCCATCGACGACCCGAAGTACACCTTGGCCCAGTGCGGCAGGATGTCTGAAACAAGAATGCGGAACTGCTCCTCTGTGTAGACATCGTCGAGCGAGCCACGATGTGGGTCGACGCAGCTCCTGCATAGAGTGGGCAGATACAGCAATTAATAAGTGAGAAAGTGAGTGAGATGTTGTACTGTTAGAATCAGTGATGAGAATGGTTGATTAGGAGAAAAGGGGGGGGTACAAGTGGAATTTCGAGAAGATTTGTGTACCCCCTAAAGCTAGCCCCCATACAGCCTAGATGCAACTAGACCTAGATACAACTAAGCATATATGTTTGACACACCCCCATAGGCGAAGTGGGGGATAGCAAGAGCAAGCAATGGTCACAAGACCAGTCAAGAGAAGAAGCAAAGCAAAGCAAGCTCAGGGTGGATCACAAAGTCACCACACAGTCCGAGCACAAGCAAAGGGCCACAAGGCCAGTTCACATGCAGAGTTATATAAAGAGAACAAACAATACAGTGATCATACCCTAGCAAGTGCAAGCATGCAGGTATATATATATATCACAGTACAGGCAGAGTCAGGCAGTAAGTAAGTGAGGCAAAAGTAGGCACAAGGCCTAACACAGTAACAAAGCGCTGATGATCACCAAGCGGAAGTGCCTTGGTGAAGACATCAGCAGTGTTGGCCCGAGTGGCCACGTACGCAAGACGAAGCTGACCACGCTGCTGCAACTCTCGAGCAAGGAAGTATCGCAGAGCGATGTGCTTCGTTCTATGCTCCAATCTGTGCTCCTGACACAAGGCTATCATGGCCTTGTTGTCTACGTACAGGACTGGAGGCGAACGAGGCTGCTCTCCCAAGTCGGTCAGCAAGTAGGTGAGCCAGCGTAGCTCCTGAGCAGCCATGGCTCCGGCGTAGATCTCAGCCTCACAACTGGAGCTGAGAACTGAAGACGAGCGGGTAGACCGCCAAGAAACCGAGCCGGACCCAAGGCTGAAGGTGTAACCCTGTGACGACCTCTGCGTAGCTGAGTCGTCAACCCAGGAAGCGTCTGCGTGACCAGTGAGGACAACTGGACCCCGTCCTCCAAGCACAAGCCCCATGCCCGACGTACTGCACAGGTAACACAGTACCCTCTTCGCAGCATCCCAGTGCACCTTTCGGTGCCTACCAGGAGCCACGTAGCGAGCCAGAAGGCTGAGAGGGTACGCGAGGTCAGGTTGTGTGCAAGTCATCAGGTACATGAGGCAACCCACAAGCTCTGGGTACGGACCACTCGGCTCTACGGAATCGTCCGAAGGTGGAGCTGAGAGCGAGTGGCTGGTAGACAGAGGAGTGAGCTGTGGCGAGGAGTACTGGAAGCCGAAGCGCTGAAGGACCTGGTGCACCATGTGTGACTGAGTCAGTGTGATGGTGCACCGTGCTCTGTCCCGGGTGATCTGCAGGCCAAGAAAACTGCGCAGTTCACCCAGGTCAGTGCAGGTATGTCTCTTCTGCAGCTCGGACTTCACAAGGGTCAGTGCCTCAGTGTCAGCCATGGCAAAGACGAGGTCGTCGACGTACACTAGGACGTAGAACGGCGGCAGCGAGGTGTCGGTGCGTAGAAACAGCGACGGGTCTGCTGTATAAGGAGCAAACCCAAGAGCCGCAAGTGTAGTCCTGAGTGTGTCGTGCCACTCGCGAGGTGCCTGGCGGAGACCGTAGACTGGCCGGCGGAGGCTCCATTGGGTACCTGCACGAAACGACCCAGTGAAACCAGGTGGTCGGCGCAGCCAGATCTCCTCGTGCAGGCTGCCCTGCAGGAAGGCTGTACTGAAGTCCAGGGAGTGTAACTCGTAGTCACGCTGAGCAGCTACATGCAGCAACACCCAAAGAGTAGTCATCTTTGGGGTGGGGGAGAAGGTCTGGAAGTAGTGAAGTCCCTG